ACAGAAAAAAATCATCAGACCGAGCTCGTCACCGTTCGCCGCACCGATACTATTTACGCCGAAAAAGACAGGGGGGTTTTTCGCATGTGTATCGACTACAGAGCACTAAACAGGGTAACAGTCAAGTCGCGGTACCCCATTCCCCGCGCCGACGAACTCATCGACCAACTGCAAACAGCACGGGTTTTTTTCGAAAATAGATTTACGTAGAGGTTACCATCAGATTAGGGTCGAACCATCGGACTGCGCCAAAACAACTTTTAGGACTAGGTACGGGTCGTTTGAGTACAATGTGATGCCATTCGGGCTGACCAACGCACCGGCGACTTTTCAGATGACCATGAACGAGGCATTCAGGCCGCTCTTAAAAAAATGCGTAATAGTTTACCTCGACGACATTCTAGTGTACAGTCGAGACAAGCAGCAGCACTTAGCAGATCTGGAAGCAGTGTTTAAGGTTTTAGACGAGCACAGATTACTCACCAAGGGTTCCAAGTGCGAGCTCTCCCAGGATAGGTTAGAATTTTTGGGGCACGTTATTTCGGAGGCTGGAGTTGAAATCGACCCAAAGAAGCTGGATACGGTAAAAGCGTGGCATCCCCCGACGAACATCACGGAGCTGCAGAGCTTTTTAGGGTTCGTTAATTATGTGCGTCGGTTCGTCCCCGATATGGCACGGTTAACTGCCCCACTGACGGATTTACTGCGGAAGGGGGTCGCTTTTACGTGGGGGGAGAAAGAGCATGTTGCCTTCTCTGCCCTGAAAAATGTTCTCTGTTCACCGCCCGTCCTGCGCATCGCCGACCCACACCGCCCATTCGAAGTAGTTACCGACGTAAGGGATATCGCCATCGGAGCCGTACTGCTACAGGATTTCGGCAATGGCCTACAACCTATCGCATACGAGTCACGAAAACTGCATCCACCCGAGAAAAATTACCCGATACACGACCGCGAAATGCTTGTGATCGTGCACGCGTTCAAAGTATGGCGCTGTTACTTGACTGGCGCGGACGTGACAGTACGGACAGACCATACATCACTACAGTACCTTCGCGCACAGCCACAGCTCAACCCACGACAGATTCGCTGGCTCGATTTCTTCGAGTCCAACTTTCACTACACGGTCACTTACAAAAAGGGAGCCTCAAACATCGCCGACGCACTGACCCGCCCCACTGCCCAGATCCACGCAATACTACTCGCCCAGACAAGCCCGCTACTGACAGGCCTATTCACCCACGGGTACCAAACGGATCCATTCTTCACAGGAGGAAATTCGCAGTAGTTCGCAGCAGCAAAGGGAGTATATTACGTAAAAACCGGGACTGACCGCATCTGGGTGCCTGGGTATACACTGCTACGGGAATTACTGTTACAGGAGGCACACGACGGAGTTACCTCAGGGCATTTCGGAGTAGAAAAAACACAGCAGCAGCTGCAGCGGTATTATTACTGGCCCGAAATGTTGACCGACGTACAACGACACGTGGCATCGTGTCCCACTTGTCAGCTTATGAAATCCACACGACAGCGGCCGGCGGGACAGTTGCAGCCGATACCACCCCCAGAGCGTGTTTGGCAGCAGGTGACGATAGACTTCGTCACGGGGTTACCAGCCGGGGCGAGTGGGAACGACGCGATCCTGGTCGTCGTCGATCGACTGACGAACACATTTCGCAGCCTGCAAAAAATCAATCACAGCCGAAGAAACAACACGCCTCTTCATCTCCACCGTCGTTCGACTGCACGGGATACCAGCCGCGATCATCAGCGACCGCGATACGAGATTCACCAGCAACTTCTGGCGGAACCTGTGGCAGCAGTTCGGCACGCGACTGCAGTTCACTTCATCATACCACCCCGAAACCGACGGACAGACAGAACGGACAAATCAGACCATGGAACAGCTCATCAGGGCCACGTGTGACGACCGGACCACGTGGGAACAGCAACTGCCACTAATCGAATTCGCGTACAACAACTCGCCATCCGCCACGACCCAACAGTCACCATTTTACCTAAACTACGGACAAGACCCGACAGTACCCATGACCCCGAATCACGACAACCCAGTACCACGAGCACAACAGTTCGCCGAAATATTACAAGCAGCACGGACCCGGGCAGTAGACGCGATAAAAAAATCAAACATCATCGCTAAACGCAACGCCGACCGCCACCGCAGACCTGTCACTTACCAGCCCGACGACTTAGTTTTACTTGACACTCAGAACCTCCGACTGCCCATCACCCCAAAGCTCCGCCCCCGATACTGCGGGCCATTTCGCATAAGCCACATGCTTACCGCCCACCTCCTCCTCCCTGCTGACTGGTACGTCAGCCCCTCATTCCACGTTAGCCTACTTTGCCCTTACGTCGCGTCCACGAGCCAACTGCCACGCAATCGCCCAGCCAGCATGACAAGACCACCAACTGAACCAATCATCACCCCCGAGAAAATCCTGGGTCACAGAGTTCGCGACCCTCGAGGAGCCCGAAGGATCGAGTTCTTACTCCGCTGGAAAGACCGTACACCCACCGAAGACAATTGGGTTCCCCTGGACAGAATCGAAAACCACCTCGTCCTCACCGAGTATCTGCGCAGCCGAAATTTCAGGGATGTGCACGCATTTTCGTAAGGAGGACCTCCTTAGGAGGGGGGGTAGTGTAAGGAAAATTCCTTTTCCTTACTTCGCATCCCTGCTCAACGCATACATCACTGTAGCACCACAGTCAGCACCGTTACCACTCGCAACCCTCGCATCGACAATCCGCCCGCCACCTTCGCACATCGCACCCCAACCTCACGGCTCGGCGGGTAACCCGCGCTCCGGGCCTCCGCTTCGACACTTTTTTCCCAACCGCAGTCCCAGGCCCGTCGCGCAACAACCACAGTCCATTACCGTTACCACTGTAGTTTCGCTATATATTCTTCGCTCATGCCTTCGCTCATTGTACTCTTGCTTAGATAGTGCAGTTCTCGTTCGTTCACTCAATTGCACTCGTAACAAATACCCTCAAAGATGTGTGGCATATGCACTGGACATGCGGGATTCACGAAGCTATCCCGTTTGTCACAAGAATGTAAGTTTGACTCGCTTGGGTCTTCCAAGAGCAGCCACCCAACCTGTCAGTTACAAGAGGTGGGTGTTTGCAATCGATTACGAAGCTTGGGTTTCCAGCCCGAAAATTATGTTGAAAGTAGTACAAATTGAATCCTCTGTGCGGAGCAAACTGAGTACCGCCCGTATTTGGACGCGGTTAATCATATCGCCGGCCCTGATGTGGGGCGGTAGGACATAGAATGCCATGCTACTTGTCGTGCAAGCGGTTTGAAACCTGTTTGAGCACTGTTCATCGGTCTATTCGCTGTGGAGACAGTTGAAGAACTGCCTTCGCAGGAATAACCGCACCCCGATAGAAGTTTACTATACCCTGATTGCGCCACACTAATATTCGCCATATTGACAAGCCGGTTGTACTGACATCAATGCATCCAAATTGGTCCCAGAACATACCATATAAGCACTTTTGCCGCACGCAGCCGAACGCAAAAGCACGTTTTCTTTCATGAACCGTTGTCTACCGTTCTCCTCAAGTGCATTTTGGTTGAAAGCACCAGCCCACTGAATTCAAGCACACCTGCGCACTGTAGCCGGGGCTCCCGATTGTCCAAACATCAAGAAACAAGGTGTACGAGTACGGAACAGTACAGTACAACACTATTGATTTCGGAAAGCTTCATGCAACCACGGACGGGGTGTTTCTTGGCATATGTGATGCACTCCGAGGCGACCATTTCGTTTTTGGGCATTCATCAAAGTGTGTTTTCCAGGGTCACACTGCTCGCTCTTCGCTTCTAACATACAATTCCTGCCCCTTTGCAAGTAGGTACTTCAAAGGTGGGCTCTGCCCCATATCTTTTTACTTCTTCTTTCTGAAACGAAAACCTGTCTTTAGGTGACGCTTTGTCCGAGCCAGTGTTCACAGAACTGTCCAGGACAGTAAACAGACATGGATATTCTGAACGGAACAGAGGGAAACTGAAATCTCTTTACAATATCAGTGCACATTGTCGTCACGCGGTGCTGCTTCCTTAATGGGGATACCGACGAAATCTGTATGGGAAGTTACCACCTTTCGATACGTGTACAGAATCTCTAGATGGACTCACATGACCTGACATGACACTGATCCCAACCGAACATGTGGGTTGCTCTGTCCACAGAAGTGCCCCACTGAGCAGTACGCCCTAACGATGCTATTGACCGTTGTACTTGTCGTCGAGCTGTCTTTTAAGCAACATCACGGTGTTTAGGCTAGTTCTGGCCCATTGTCAGTAATATCAAACATATGATCTTAGGAGGAGAGGTCCCCCCCTTTAACAAATGCTACGAGTTTCAACCTGTCAGGAAAACTGATTTTGTTGACACAACGCTAGTGCCAGGCTTTCGAACACCTGGAGTTTATCATTATTACCTCCAAATTGTCTGAGAGAGTCGAATTCGTGGTCAGGGTGTATACTACTAAAATTCCCCCAGAAACCAGCCACCGCGATTCAGTTGTTTTTGTTCATGCGTCGGACCAACCCGTTCCAACCTCCGGGCCACTGTCCCCTTCCCCCAACCCTCCCTCCGCAATTCCCCCTCCCCTTTCACTAACACATAAATCACAATGCGAGTTTCCTTCACAAACTATATTTACAGTAACTAGTGTCTGACATCAAACCTCTGGCGAAATTCTGCTCTCACCGACAGATCGATCGCCTTACCAAGACTGAAACCCCAGGCAGGTACCATGATAAGGCTATTCGTAGACGAATTCGCCACAACCGACGATCATTCTCAAACCATTGTCCTCCAGTAATAGACTCCAAGTCTACACGTGTCGTACTCCGAAGTAAGTGGATTGTGGGCAGTTTTCTTGCCGGATCGCGTGGGCTATGTCAGATCTCCCTTTATGAATTGCCCGAGGCGCGAATGCGCCGATGGGCGTCAATGCTGGTACGCGCAAACAGTCCGAAAATGGCTTCCCATATTAAAAAAAAAATAACGAATGAGGGTCCGACTCCGAGTCGGACCTTCATGTTTCGGAAATGAGCTGAACACCCGTTGCTGCAACGAGTCAACCGATGCATTCTTTCGGGAATTCGCAAGCTTCGAGTGATTTTTATGACGGTAACTCACTGCAACACGTCCGATAGTGCATGCCATCATCGTTCAGTCCAAGTGAGTGTACGTGCGAGACGGGATGCGTGTGCGCGTGTGTATGAGTGTGTGTGTGTGTGTGTGTGTGTGTGTGTGTGAGTGAGTGAGTGTGTGTGTGCGTGCGTGTGTGTATGTGTGTGTGTGCGTGTGTGTGTGTGTTTGTGTGCGTGTCTGCGTGTGTGTGTGTGTGTGCGTGTCTGCGTGTGTGTGTGAGTGATTGAGTGAGTGAGTGAGTGAGTGTGTGTGTGTTTGTGTGTGTGTGTGCGCTTTTGTTTGTGCGTGTGCGTGTGTGTGTGTGTGCTTCTCTTACTCTGTGTGTGTGTGTGTGAGCGTGTGTGAGTGAGTGTGTGTGTGTGTGCGTGTGTGTGTGTATGTGTGTGCGTGTGTGTATGTGAGTGCGTGTGTGTGTGTGAGTGTGTTTGTGTGTGTGTGTGTCTGTGTGTGTGTGAGTGATTGAGTGATTGTGTGTGTGTGTGTGTTTGTATGAGTGTGTGTGAGTGATTGTGTGTGTGTGTTTGTATGAGTGTGTGTGAGTGATTGAGTGAGTGAGTGAGTGAGTGAGTGTGTGTGTGTTTGTGTGTGTGTGTGCGCTTTTGTTTGTGCGTGTGCGTGTGTGTGTGTGCTTCTCTTAATCTGTGTGTGTGTGTGTGTGAGCGTGTGTGAGTGAGTGTGTGTGTGTGTGCGTGTGTGTGTGTATGTGTGTGCGTGTGTGTATGTGTGTGCGTGTGTGTGTGTGAGTGTGTTTGTGTGTGTGTGTGTCTGTGTGTGTGTGAGTGATTGAGTGATTGTGTGTGTGTGTGTTTGTATGAGTGTGTGTGTGTGTTTGTATGAGTGTGTGTGTGTGTTTGTATGAGTGTGTGTGAGTGATTGAGTGTGTGTGTGTGTGTGTGTGCGGCTCTTTGCGGGTGTGTGTGATTAGGTATGTCTGTGTGTGGGTGTGTGGGTGTTTGGAGGTGCGTGTGTGAGTGCGAAAGTCGCAGGTGTGTGAGTGTGGCGGGGGGGGGGGGGGGGGGGGGGGGGGGGGGGGGGGTTGGTGTCTGTGCGTGTGTGTGTGTGTGTGTGTGTGTGTGTGTGTGTGTGTGTGTGTGGGGTGGGTATGCGTGTGCGTGTGTGTATGTGTGTGTGTGTGTATGCGGCAGTATACGGGTGCGTGTGTGTGTGTGTGTGTATTTGGATGGGTATGGGTATGGTGTGTGTGTGTGTGTGTGTGTGTGTGTGTGTGTGTGTGTGTGTGTGTGTGTGTGGTGCGGGTGGGTGGGTCATTGTGCGAGTGCGTGGATATGATCATCTCCAACCAAACACAAAGCCCAAAACCCCACACCCCCACGCTTTTCTCTTCTCTCCCTAAACTCCTTTTCCTCCTCTCCATTTGTATCCCTTTCGCCCTGCTCGTCCCTCTCCGCTCTTCTGCCTCACAGAATGAGAGAGCCCACCACACGGGCTGTCACGAAATGTCAGCATTCCAAAGCACGCCCGGCGATGATGTAGACAGCAACCCACTCCCACGCACCACCTCCAAACTCTTTCCACTCCACTACACTCCCACCCATGCCCAATGCACCGCCAATCCCAATACCAACGCCTTGCGGCTTCCCCACACACAGCACAGCCACTGTTGGCAGGCCTCTCTCTCCTCCCCGCCTCCGGCTCGCCATAAACCCCTGTCCAGAAAGCACCTGTCCTGTCCAGACCTCCAGCATGGCTCCAGATCAACTGCCTCTAGCAACGCACTCTCCTCTCCCCCGTTCCTCGCCCCTGCCCTACACCCACCCTCGCTCCCCTCACTCCCCCCACTTCTTGCCTCCCCACCTCGCCTGGCACTTGCCTACATGCCCCTGTTCTTGCTCCTGCTTCCGCCGCGAAGCACCACCTGTTGCCTCACAGCCCACCCACAAGCAGCAGCCGTTTCAGAGCCGGCCTCAAGAGCCGCACATGCCTCCTTCCACTGATGCAGGTAACACCTGCTCCCTGCCCATGCCGCTCTACCCGCATGCCTGCCCGTTCTCCTCCCCGCATGCACGGCAGCCGCGCGCCTGGACTCGAAAGCGTGCACACGCACAGCTAGCCCTGGAGGATCATGCACGTGCAGATGCAGCAAGCATGGGAAGAACAGCGAGAGTAGTGCTTGCATCATCGCCAGTCACGGCTGCATGGCACCCAGGTGGATCGGCTATGGGAGCAACAGAGGTAACAGAGGAAGCAGCAGGAGCCAGTGCAATGGGGCCAGCAGCTAGTGTAGCATGTGAGGTGTGGAGTGCGGTTGAGACATGGGAAACAGGTCAAGCAACGGCTTGCGCTTGCCCTTGCCACTGCAGCAGCTTGTGCGGCAGCAGCAGCAGCAGTTGCAGCAGCAGCAACAGCAGCGGCAGCAGCAGCAAATTCAACAGGAACACATGCCATGGTTGCTGTTCCCAACTAAACCATTCTACCCCTCCTTTTCACATGCTCCTGGCCTCTTACCCTCCTCGTCCTCCACTCCTAGCCGATTCCATGACCGCTCATGCAAAGTCACACTCTACTGCCCCAGCACGAGCGGCAGACGCACCTCGGAACAGACCGCATGCGTTCAGATCATCAGCAATAGCACCACCTGCAGCAGCAGTGGAGGCAGTGGGAACGAGCGCAACAGCAATACCCGCAGCAACAGCAACAGCAACAGCGGAATCAGAAGCACCAGCAGCAGCAGCAGCAGCAGCAGAAAAAGCATCAGCAACAGCAGCAGCAAGGAGTGCAGCTTTTGTCAATCCATTCCCCCGAGCAGCAACACCAGCAGGCAGGGGAACAGCGGCCCTACATCAGCCCGCCCTACTGCGCACCAGACCTCCCCACACCCAAATCAACCCCCTCTCTTCCAAACCTACCGCACCAGTCACGCGTTTCCAGCTCGCCTCCCTCTCCTCTCCCAGGGTAGCAGCAAGGCTGTACTCTCACAGCAGCAGCGGCAGCAGCGGAGGGGACTCAGCCGGACCCACATCCGTCCACACCTCCCCGCTCTACCAGTTTTCCGCTGCTGCTCAACCCTCCACTCACGCTTCTCCCGCTGCCGCCTTCCGCCCTCCCTTCGCCACTGCCGCTGCCGGCGCCCCGCTTTCCTGGTCCAGGGCGCATGGGCGGCCGCTGAGATCTCTTCCCCTTACTGCTGCTGCTCCTGCGCTGCCCGCACGCCTTGCTGGGGGGAGGGCTCTTGGGGCGTTTGAATCAGGCGCTTCTCACAGCGTGCAGAGGGGCCTGGGAGGGCATTATGCGCGGTGGACGTGGGAGGAGGGGGCGAATGAGAGGGAGCACGAGCGGCGGAATTACTTTCGGGAGATGGAGAGGCGTGCGAGGGAGTGGGAGGAGGTGGCTAGGAGAGGGAGGGAGGGAGGGGGTGAGGGGGGAAGGCAAGAGGGTGGGGACGGGATGGAGTGGGTGATGGGTGTGGAGGGACGGCGTGAGGGTGGGCTGGAGGGAAGAGAGGAGATGGGTGAAGGGGAGGAAGTTGAGAGACAGGAGGGTACATGCACAGGAGAACCAGCAGCAGCAGCAGCAGCAGCAACAGCAGCAACAGCTGTCGCAGCAACAGCAGAGGAGGAGGAGGAGGAGGTGGGGGTTGCGGTCGGGGAGCGGGAGACGGAAACGGCAGCAGAGCAAGGCGAAGAGGGAAGTGCAGGAGAAGTAGGGCGACTAAGGGAGGGCTGGTTACAAGTGGAGACAGGTGCAGGAGATGTGAGCAGAGAGAGTGTGCCTGGTGTTGGTGGTGTGCCTGGTGTTGGTGGTGTGCCTGGTGTTGGTGGTGTGCCTGGTGTTGGTGGTGTGCCTGGTGGTGTGGCTGGTGGTGTGCCTGGTGTTGGTGGTGTGCGTGGTGGTGTGGCTGGTGGTGTGCCTGGTGGTGTGGCTGGTGGTGTGCCTGGTGTTGGTGGTGTGCGTGGTGGTGTGGCTGGTGGTGTGCCTGGTGGTGTGGCTGGTGGTGTGCCTGGTGTTGGTGGTGTGCGTAGTGGTGTGGCTGGTGGTGTGCGTGGTGGTGTGGCTGGTGGAGTGCCTGGTGTTGGTGGAGTGTGTGGTGGAGTGCGTGGTGGAGTGCGTGGTGAGGGGAGAGAAATCGAGCCAGTGCGTGGCGGGCAGGAGGGGGGTCGTGCGTCCCCTCCTGACGCCATATCCCTCTTGGACGTGCATAGGGAAAAGAGGGGGGAGGAGGAGGAGGATGCAGGTAAGCGGGCAGAAGAGGGGGCGGTGGGTGGGCGTGGGGTAGCAGTGAGTGGGGATGAAGGCACGCAAATCGGTGGTGGGGAATGGGCAAGGGGGGAGGAGCAAGGCGGCGGTGGTGGTTCGAGTGGAGAGAAGGGCTTAGGAGGGAGGTTGGTGAGAGGCAGGAGAGAGGAAACATGGGTGCAAGTGGAGGAGGTTTTGCATTTGAAGGGAGTGGAGGAGAAGGTTGAACGATGGGAGATGCAAGGGCAAGGCACAGGAGACGTGGCAGGGCAAGGCAGGGGTGACGTGGCAGGGCACGGCAGGAGTCATGTGGAAGGGTGGCTTGGCAAGGCAGCAGCACTGGGACAAGGCATGGTTGCAGCACGGGTAGGGTGGGGTGAGACGGCTATGGAGAATACACAGGAGAGAAGCGGGGAAGCTGGAGATGGTGCAAGAGAGAGGGGGAAGAGGGCGAGAGACGAGGGACAGAGGGGTGAAGGGGCTGGAAAAGCGCAGACACTGAGAGGTGGGGCGGGTGGTGGAGAGATGGGCATGGGTACGCATGGAAGCATGCTGGCAGAGGGGAGAGTGGAGATGGGTGGCGAGGGGGAAAGAGAGCGCGCCAGACGAAGGGTGCACGGAGCAAAAGGGGCGGCAGCAGCACACGACCCCAGAAGGGGGGAAGAGGCAGAGCAAGAGGCGCAGGCAGTGGGTGCAGCGGGTGCAGCGGGTGCAGTGGGTGCAGCGGGTGCAGCGGGTGCAGCGGGTGCAGCGGGTGCAGCGGGTGCAGTGGGTGCAGCGGGTGCAGTGGGTGCTGCTCCCCCGCGCTTCACCAGCAAAGAGGGCGCTGCACTGGCTGAGCAGGGCCAGAGCACAGAGGCCCCACCCGTGCCCCGCCCACCACAGAGACCTCTCTCCGTGGCATCTCCCCAGGATCCCAATGCTGCTGCCCATACCTGTCCAGAGCAAACCGTTGCCCCGTCCCCGTCGTACCCGCCGTGCCTTGTACCAGCACACACCCTCCACGACCTCATGGTCATCCGCGCGCTGCACTCCTCTCTGCTGCGCCTGCCGCGCGACTCCCTGGGCACGGCCCTGGGCATGCGGACCAGAGAAGGGCAGCTCTCGTCCCTCCCTGCGATTATCGTGTTTGTGTCCTGTAAGGTGCACCAGTTGTGGGTGCCGGACGGCCAGATGCTGCCACGTCAGCTTGTGGGGCCCACAGGGGTGGTCTGTGACGTGGACGTGGTAGAGTTTTGCTACACAGATGCCCCTGCTGCTGCCACGTATGCTGCTCAGGCGTCCCCTCCCACTTCTGCTACCCCTTCTCCTCCTCCTTCCACTGCTGACCTACATGGGGAGATAGACATTTCTGTCATGGCTGCTGCTCCTGATGCTCGTATTGGTACTGGTGCTGGTTTTGCTGATCCAGAGCCCAGCAGAGAGCGCGTGTGGAGCGCAAGGGAGGGCGCGGGAGGGGCAGGCGCGGGGCACAGGAGGGCCGGGCGCAGCAGAAGAGCAGCACCAGCAGTAGCAGTGGTGGAAGAAATGAAAGGGGCCGCAGGGGACGTGGGGCCAGGGTCGCAGGTAGCAAGCGAGGGCACGTACGGTACACTGACAGCGGTAGTGGTGAGCACAAGAGGAGAGCGTGCAGTGGGAGTGCTGACAAACAGACACGTGGCAGTGGATTTCAACCAGCCGCGCCAGGCTCTGCACCACCCGCTGCCGCCTAGTAGGGGCCCAGGCGTGCTGCTGGGGCTTGTGGAGCGGGCGGCTTCGTTCACTTCGGATAGCGCGTGGTACAGCATGTTTGCCACGCCCAACACTGGTGAGTGCGCATGTGGGAGGGCGGAGGGGCTAGTGGTATTCTGAACGCTGTTATCACGTGCTGCTGGGATTGGTGGAGCGGGTAGCGTCGCTATCTTCAGATAGTGTGTGGTACGGCATGTTTGCCACGCCCAACACTGGTGAGTGCGCGTGTGGGAGGGACAGGGGGATTGGTGGTGTTTTGAATGCTGTTATCACATGCCGCATGCTCTTAGGGTACGTTCTTGGCTGGTGTCTAGAATATTGACACCAAGCTATGAAAGATTGGGATCTTGCTAGATTTTGACGATGACGACGTGGAATGATCAAAATCGTCCATTAGCCTTGTGCCAGCGAGCCTGACACCAGCCAAGAACGTACCCTTATCTTGTATGGCGTTCTTTTACCACATGCTGCATGCGCCTTTCACATGCCACATGCTCTTATCACAAGCTGCATTCTCTTATATCATGCAGCACGCTTGAATAAGATGCGACACGCTCTTATTTGATGTCATTCTTGAAGTCATAATTTTTAGTTCTTAAACTTCAGGGCGAGCGTGCACTCTTATCACATGCCACACGCTCTTATCCTATGCGGCATGCTCTGATCACATCTCGTATGCTCTTATCGCATGCAACACATTCTCCACGCAATTATATCATGCCACACGCTCTAAGATTATGGCGCATGCAAGCTCTAATAGCATGTCGCACGCCTTTTTAAAATGCCACACTCCCTTATTGCAAGCCCCATGCAGGAGCACATGCCGCATGCTCTTATCACATGTAGCACGTGCTTCTCACATGTTGCATGCATGACCCGCGCTTTTACTACATGCCACACGCACTTCGCACATACCATATGCACTTAGCACATACCATATGCACTTAGCACATGTCCCATGCTCTTATCACATGCCACAGGCTCATAATCACATGTCACACGCTTTTATCATATCCCTCGTGCTCTTATCACATGCTCAACGCTCTTAGTACTTGGAGCACGCACTTATCACATGCTCCATGCTCTTATCACATGCCTCACTCACTTACAACATGACATGTTGCATGGTTTTTTCACATGGCCCACGCTTCGATGACATGGCACATGCTCTTATGGCAAGCCGCGTGCTCGAAGCACATGCCATGAACACTTATCCCATGTCGCATGCATTTATCACATGCTGCATGCGCTATCACACATGGCTTGCTCTATCCCTTGCCGCATGCTCTCATCACATGCCACACCCTCTTACGACATGCATCACGTGCTGATGACATGTTTCATGCTCTTTTCACATGCCACACGCTGCTTTCACGTGATGCATCTGCTTATCAAATGCTCTTTTCACATGCCCAACCCTCTAAGCACATGGAGCACGCGCTAATCACATGCTGATGCCTTCATCACATGTTTTGGGTGCTTATCACATGCTGCACCATCCAGCACCTTCGTATCACATGCTGCAGGATCTTATTGCATGCTCTTATTTCAAGTTACACGCTCCAGCACCATCCTGCAATCTATTCCGCCATGCAGCTAGTCCTAATTACATACTGCAGGCGATTCTCACACGTCGCAAGTTCTTACCATATGCCGCACGTTCCTACACATGCTGCAAATTATTGCATGATGCACACCCTTATCAGATGGTGCATGCTACTATAGCATGCTGCACACTCGTTTCACATGGTGGATGCCCTATATAGCTATCTTCACATGCTGCAGGCCCGTATTATATGGTACACAGTTGTATTGCTTGCTGCACGCCCTAGTTACATCCCACACGAATTCCCACACGAATTCTCACACGCCGCATGCTCTTATCAAACGCTGTACGCCCCTAAGTGCATATCGCACATTCTTATGACATGCTGCCTGCTCATTTCACATGCTGCTTATTCCTTATTACGTGCTGCACACTGTTCAGCCGCCCTTATTACGTGCTGCACTCTGTTCAGCCGCCCTCATTACTTGCTGCACTCTGTTCAGCCGCCCTCATTACTTGATGCGCGCTATTCAACAACTCGCTGCAAGTTGGCCAGAATGTGCCTTGGCCACCCACTCATCACTTCCAGCCGCCATAACTTGCAGGCCCCTTCCCCCTTCGCCCTTCTCTCTCCCCCCTCCCCTCTCCCCTTGTGTGCACACACAGAAGCGTACGTGCGGGTGGATGCAGCGTTCGTGCCGCTGCACCGGTCGCTGGACACGAGTATTATCACACCAGAGCTGCGAGGGCTGGGCGCCATGGGGCAACCCTGCGCCGTCTCATTGCATGATGCCATCGGGTCCCTCATCAACCGCCCTGTCTGCAAGGTCATACTCCGTGCGCTGCCATGCCATGCCATCCCATGCCATGCCATGCCACGAGTCAAAGCACCTCCTGCCATGCTGTATGCCCAATGCATAGCAGCCTACAGGTTCCCAGGTACTTACTCTGTTTAACACAAAGTGTTCACCCTCTCATCTCTTGTTCCTTTCTCAAACCCCCTTCGCCACCCCCCAGCCCCCCCACCCAATCCTCCCCTCTCTCTTTCCCTTTTTTTGTTACTCTATCCTTGTCCCTCCTCCTTCCAGCCCTCCCCTTTTCACCCCCTCCTCCCTCTCTTTCTCCTCCCTTTGTTCCTCAAACACAGTCTTCCAACTGACACTCTTTCTCCTGTTCTTTAATCCCGTCACTCCCTCACCCACCTCCCCCCTCCCCACCTGACCCCTCCCCCAGTACCTCCCAATGAGAGCACATTTCCGCTGGCAAGACCACGCCACGTAAACGAGGCCCTCCCAGCACACCCTCTCTCTCTCTCTCTCTCTCTCTCTCTCTCTCTCTCTCTCTCTCTCTCTCTCTCTCTCTCTATCTCTCTCTCTCTCTCCTCTCTCTCCTCCTCCCTCCCTCCCTCCCTCCCTCCCTCCCTCCCTCCCTCCCTCCCTCCCTCCCTCCCTCCCTCCCTCCCTCCCTCCCTCCCTCCTCCCTCCCTCCCTCCCTCCCTCCCTCCCTCCCTCCCTCCCTCCCTCCCTCCCTCCCTCCCTCCCTCCCTCCCTCCCTCCCTCCCTCCCTCCCTCCCTCCCTCCCTCCCTCCCTCCCTCCCTCCCTCCCTCCCTCCCTCCCTCCCTCCCTCCCTCCCTCCCTCCCTCCCTCCCTCCCTCCCTCCCTCCCTCCCTCCCTCCCTCCCTCCCTCCCTCCCTCCCTCCCTCCCTCCTCCCTCCCTCCCTCCCTCCCTCCCTCCCTCCTCCCTCCCTCCCTCCCTCCCTCCCTCCCTCCCTCCCTCCCTCCCTCCCTCCCTCCCTCCCTCCCTCCCTCCCTCCCCTCCCTCCTCCTCCCTCCCTCCCTCCCTCCCTCCCTCCCTCCCTCCCTCCCTCCCTCCCTCCCTCCCTCCCTCCCTCCCTCCCTCCCTCCCTCCCTCCCTCCCTCCCTCCCTCCCTCCCTCCCTCCCTCCCTCCCTCCCTCCCTCCCTCCCTCCCTCCCTCCCTCCTCCCTCCCTCCCTCCCTCCCTCCCTCCCTCCCTCCCTCCCTCCCTCCCTCCCTCCCTCCCTCCCTCCCTCCCTCCCTCCCTCCCTCCCTCCCTCCCTCCCTCCCTCCCTCCCTCCCTCCCTCCCTCCCTCCCTCCCTCCCTCCCTCCCTCCCTCCCTCCCTCCCTCCCTCCCTCCCTCCCTCCCTCCCTCCCTCCCTCCCTCCCTCCCTCCCTCCCTCCCTCCCTCCCTCCCTCCCTCCCTCCCTCCTCCCTCCCTCCCTCCCTCCCTCCCTCCCTCCCTCCCTCCCTCCCTCCCTCCCTCCCTCCCTCCCTCCCTCCCTCCCTCCCTCCCTCCCTCCCTCCCTCCCTCCTCCTCTCTCTCTCTCTCTCTCTCTCTCTCTCTCTCTCTCTCTCTCTCTCTCTCTCTCTCTCTCTCTCTCTCTCTCTCTCTCTCTCTCTCTCTCTCTCTCTCTCTCGCTCTTGTGCAACTCCACCTCATCGTTCTCTCTTCTCCATTCTCCCTGCCCTGCACCTCTCCCGTCCACCTCTCGCCCGCCCTTCCCCGCGGCAGATAGGAGCGACATCGGGCGTGACGCACGGGCGCATAATGGGGTACGCGGTGGAATATAACGACAAACGCAGCCGTACCCTTTTCACCGACTTCCTCATTCTCGGCGAGCAAGGACAGCCGTTCGATCAGGAGGGCGACAGCGGCAGTCTCATCCTGGCAATGCCAAACCGTGAAGGTGATTCGACGGACGGCCGTGATCGCACGGATGGCGACAATGTGCTTCGACCAATCGGCGTGATTTGGGGGGGCACGGCGAATCGCGGGCGGCTCAAACTGCGGCGGGGGCATGTTCCGGAGAACTGGACAAGCGCGGTGGACGTGGGGAGATTGTTGCGACTGCTTGACCTGCAAATGATCACGACATCGGAAGAATTGAGAGGTAACGTCCTGCTGTTACAATTTGCATCTGCAAAAATTGATTATATTAGCAGAATCTTTATTGACCTGCGTTGTTTGTTTTGATGCAGCTTTGCTGGAGCACCCTGGTGTTCAGGACTTCAGCATGCAAAGGATGACGTAAATTTCTGGAACACTTAATATTTAATTTCTTCAATTCATTGTCTATCATTTGCAGTTATAATGCTTTTCCACCAAGTGCTTCAAAGAGAAGGCCATATTATGTGCTAGCTTATCTTCACAGCATGCTAAACATTCACGCACAAAACGAAATAATGAAAGAACGAAAGAAAAGAAAAATAAAAACAACAATAATTGTCAATAATGAAAATGCTCGTTTGACTAAGGTTGGTTGGGGTACACAACTTACCGTAATCCTAACAATTGTACCCCCTATAACACGCATCACTAAGATTACAACATTTGACACACCCCCATGGTCTAAGTGAGGGGTGTCAAGCAAAACCAAAAGTGTACAGTTACAAGACTAGTCATAGAGAAACAAAGCACAGGGTGGATAACAACGTCACTACACACTCCGAGCACAAGCAAAAGAGCCACAAGGCCAGTTCAAGAGATGTACAAACAAAGCAAGCTGAGAACTCGAGACTACGCAAGGCGAGAACCTGTGTCAACGAGACCTAACTGCACACAACACCTCTGGTGGTCACAAGGCAGAAGCGCCTTCGTGAAGATGTCTGCACTGTTGGCCTCGGACTCCACAAAGTCGAAGCAAGCCTGCCCACGCTTCTGCAATTCTCGCAGAAGAAAGTACCTGACGTTGATTTGCTTCACTCTGCTCTCCAGTCGTGGCTCTCGATAGAGGAGAATCGACGCCTTGTTGTCAGTAAACAAGGTCGGTGCAGAGCTCGGCCGCTCACCAAGGTCGGTGAGCAAGAAGGTCAACCGACGCAGCTCCTGTGCAGCCATGGCTCCAGCGTAGATCTCGGCCTCAGCCGTGGAGGTCGAGACCGAGGAGGACCGCATGGACCTCCACGAAACAGCTCCAGAGCCAAGGCTGAAGAAGTACCCCTAAGTAGACCTGTGACTCTCGGCGTCGTCAGTATAAGAAGAGTCTCAGTGTCCAGTAAGTACAACAGACTGCTGCCCTCCAAGAACCAGCCCCACGCTTGATGTCGTCGCTAGGTACTTCGCCACCCTCACAGCAGCTGTCTAGTGAACTGGACGGTGTCTCCCTAACGCAACAAAGCGAGCAAGGATGCAAAGAGGGAAGGCGAGGTCCGGGCGATCACAAGTCATCAGGTACATGAGGCAGCCCACAAGCCGTGCGTAAGGACCACTAGGCTCAAACAGCTCGTCAGGGAAGGGTCCAGTGAGTCTGTGGTCAACAGCAAGAGGTGTGCGCTGTACTGTGGAGTGCTGAAGCTCGAACCGCTGAAGAACCTGCTGCACCATGCATGATTGTGAGAATGTAATGGTGCGAGCGGCTTTGTTCCTGGTGATCTGTAGGCCAAGGTAGTGGCGCAGCTCACCAAGGTCAGTGCACGTGTGTCTGTTCTGCAGTTCGCACTTCACGTCAGCCAAAGCAACCCTGTCAGCAGTGGCAAAAACCAGGTCATCGACGTAGACCAGTACAAAGAACGGTGTGGAGCCACGCCGAACAAACAGCGATGGGTCGGCAGAAGACGGCTGGAAACCAAGGTCAGACAGGGTAGAACGAAGGGTGTCGTGCCACTCACGAGGAGCCTGACGGAGACCGTAGACCGGTCGCCTTAGCCTCCACTGGGTCCCAAGAGGGAAATTGCCAGTGAAGGCAGAGGGACGACGCAACCAGACCTCCTCGTGTAGGCTACCCTGAAGGAAAGCAGTAGAGAAGTCGAGAGTGTGTAACTCATAGTCCCTGTGTGCTGCTACGTGTAGTAACACCCGAAGAGTGGTCATCTTCGGGGTAGGCGCAAAGGTCTGAAAGAAGTCAACTCCCTCGCGCTGACTGAAACCTCTAGCCACATAGCGCGCCTTGAAGACCGGAGGAGATCCCGGTGGCCGCTTCACCCTGAAGATCCACATGCCATCGACTACGTTTGCCCAAGGGGGGGAACCTCGTCGACGTAAGTGCCTGTGGATCTGTAGGAGGCCATCTCTGAGTCCATGGCAGCTCTCCACTGAGAGGCCCAAGGCCCTGACAATGCCTTAGCGTAAGTGCGAGGTGTCGGTAAGTCAAGGGCGTCAGGGTCTCCCTCAGGAGCGAGCAACATGGCACAGAGATGAGGGGAAGAGGCTGCCAGGAACTCTAGCTCAAACTGCTTGTCCTCTAGGGCGTCACAGCCAAGGGCAGACTCACCCCTGACGGCCAGAGGACTGGTAGGAGGAGCAGCCACAAGACTGGTGGCGTATTCAAGGTGGCGAGAAGAGGCAAACTCAGTGAGTGCGGCAGTAAGAGCGGAGACAGAGGACAGAGAAGCACATGGGTCGGTAACAAGAGAAGCGAGAACACGAGAGAGGACAGTACGGTACGTACGGTAGTAGTCCGTGACAGGAGTAGAGAGGGAAGCAGTGAGAGCCGACTCAGGAGGAGAAGGAAGTACAGAAGGAGACGAACGAGGCGGATTAGAACAAAAGAGGGTAGTACGAAGGTCAGAGAAGGGAACAGGGGACAAGGGACGAGCACGAGGAGAGCGACGCGAGGGCCAAGTGTGAGGAAGAGGAGGGGACAACGGAGGCAGAGAAGGAGGGAAAATAACTGGGGAGGGGTTAGGAGGAGGAAGCGAAGGACCAGAGACAGGAGGAGAGGGGGAGGAGGGAGGAGAAGGAGAGGGGAGACCGAGGGTCCAAAGACCAGAGACAGGAGGAGGAGGTGGCGGCTGCTGCTGTTGCTGTAGAAGCGACCGCTGCTCCTCCAGCCGCGGCGGCCGCTGCCACTCTTGCTGCTGCGGCTGCTCCTGCTCCGGCTGCTGCTCCGGCTGCTGCTACTGCTGCTGCTCCTCCAGCCGCTGTAGCTCCAGCTGCTGCTGCTCCAACTCTCTCTCCTCTCGCTCCAACTCCAGCTGCTCCTCACGGGCACGGCGGACACGTGCCTGGTGCCGAGTCGGGTAGGGGTGGGGGGGAGGAGTAGTGTCCGGAGCGGCAGTAGCCCCAGGACCGCTCTCCAAAGAACCAGTCACACCACCCAAGAGCCAGCACCACCAGAAGTAACAGGGCCCGTCCGAGGCTCTCCAGGTCCAGCAGAGGGTGCACCCCCAGTCTTAGCACCCCTAGGCACAGCTCCACTTACACCAGCTCCACGAAGACTAGAGTCTCCTGCAGTCACGGGCTCAGCTCCAACTCCAGCACCCCCAGAACCAGGGCCTCGCACAGGTACACTTTCTGCTCCAACTCCAGCACCTCTAGAGCTAGCACCTCCAGGGTCCTCGCCACGAAAACCAGCTCGGGAAGGTCTGCTCCAGGCTGAAAGGACTGTGGGGAAGGGGACGGCACCTGAGGGGCTTCCGAGGGGGGAGGGGTAGTGTGTCACACACCTAACGGGGCTGGACCAGGGGGGGGGGGAGGGGGGCTGTACCAGAGGGGCAGGAGAGGGGGTGGGAGTCAGAAAGTGAGGAGGAGGAGGTATCGAAAGACCTCAACAGGGGTACTGGGTGTAGTAGGGGTCTGACTTGACAAAACTAACGTCGCGGGAGTGAAAGAACCGGTGAAGGGGAGGGTGGTAAAAGGTGAAGTCAGAGGAGTCAACGGGGAAACCAAGGAAGACACAGGGAAAGGCGCGAGGGGGGAGCTTATCCACGGAGGTGTCGCGAACAAGCGCCAAGCAGCCCCAGACACGAAAACGCGACGCATCACTAGGGGACCCGGTCCAAAGACTGTTCAGTCAAGCCTCTGGCCGTGAGACACGTGGCCAGAGGTTCAGCTAGTGAGTGGCATACCGAACCGCGTAGGGCCACAGAAAATGGGGCGTAGGGGCGTGGATCATGGAGGTGCGTGCAATCTCCATGACCAAGCCTATGCGGCACTTGGCAACCCCATTCTGCTGTGGGGACTCTGGAAGCGTCCAAAACCGACGGATGCCCTGCTCGCGACAGAATCCAGCAAGAATGCCAGAGCAAAACTCACCCCCACGGTCGGAGTGAAGACAGCTGACACGACGACCACGAGTGTCTGCAGTGTAACCACCGGATCAGAGTAGAAGTCACCTCATACTTCTTCGCCAGGGGGAACACTATGGTGTAGCGGCAGTAGTCGTCAACGAGGGCCAGGGCGAGGGGCGGGGCCCCAGACGTCCAAGTGGAGAGTCTCGAAGGGCTTGGTGGCCGCACGAAGGGAGGAGGAGTGAGGGGTGGCGCGCAGCCGACCCTCGACGCAAGGACCGCAAGGTGGTGCAAGCGAAGGCGGCAGCGACGGCAAGACTTGCGGGAGGCCTAAGACAAGACGTTGACTAGACATAGCGCGCGGGAGAGGAATGGACGGGTGCCCCATCCGGTGGTGCCACAGAACGGTGGGGTGGGCAAGTGACCGGCAGGAGCACGACGCAGCAACTGGACCAGGCACCGGAACCTGACCAGACACAGCTACCTGGGGAGACGCAGCAACCTGGTTAGACGCGGGAACCTGACGGGGGGCAGTGATAGGGGTCGGGGGCAGTAGCGGCTGCTGCTGCCCTCGGGGGCCAGTGTGAAGTGTGTAGAGACCAGAGCCCGGCTCAGCGGTAAAGGTGGCGAGAGGTGCGTACGTGTCTCCGTGGACACAAACCGCAGTCTCGCCAGAAGGCTCAATCCACACACTCACGTGCTGACTCACGAGCGGCCTCACGCCCACCAAGTTCCTCGAGAACGAGGGGACGTGGAAGCCGGTCAGAGAACCGGAGGGAACAGTCGGGCATGGAAGCGTGGTAGTGTAGCGAGCGGTGACTGGTCCCGAAGTGGGATCAGCCAGTGCTACAGAGACCGGTGTAGGAAGTGGGGTAAGTGTCGTGCCGTCGCGGAAGAAGCAGTGCGAAGCTCCGGGGTCCAGAGTGAAAGAAAGCGAAGCGTCCTCCAGAGCAGCTCCTGGACTAGTGTCTACACAAGTACCTACACTAGCAACAGGAACCTCAGCAAGACTAGCACCTAAGCTAACAACACTCGAATAAACAGAGTCAGAAGCACTAGAGTCAACAACAACATGCATAGCATGAGGAGTTCCTAAGAGATCAAGCTCCGGATTCCAGAGTAGAATTCCACTACTACAGCAGTTTGATAGAGCTTGAAAGCACGATTCCAACGAACCAAAGATTGCAGGAAACGGTCCACTATAGCAAGAGATACACACAAACATAGCAGTGATAATGACTTCGTTGATTTCTGGTTTGTGCTCTCTGTTTCTATACTAGGACGCATTACAAAATAAAAGCACACAAGAAAGTGTCGACCCGGGTCGCACGTTGAATTTCGTCGACGCGAAATTCGGAGCCTTGATTTGCGCCGAGCGAATTCCATTGACTGGAATTCCGTAGACGAGAATTTCCGCGACAAGAATTTCGTCGACCACCGACTGTATCTCCCATGCGAATTCCGTTGACTTCGACACTTCGATGCCGAGTTTCAAACCGAAAGCGACCCGAGATCGATTTCACCAAACTGTCCCCAAACAGTCCCCAATCTGTCATGACAAGACACTTTCGGGACACTTGAATCGAAAGATCTCCAATTCGAAACTCGTGTGCACCATAACCAGCGCCTGAGCAGAAACTGTCCTGAATCTGTCCTGAGACACTTTCAGGACAGATTTGAAGGTCACGAGTTCGAATCCCAGCGCAGACATTTTGTTGCTCATGACAGCATTCCCTTCTAACACGCCCCCTTGCTGTCAAGAGCACACTGGACCAGCTCGGCTGCTGCACAGCATCGGTTGAAGGTTGCCTTGTCGAGCCGCTTCGTGAAGAAGTCCGCGAGCTGCGCCGTTGTAGGGATGTGCTGCACCTCCAACTTTTTCATGCGCACCATGTGCTGTAGCCGCATGTGGCGACGGTCCACATGCTTCATGCGCCCCTGCAGCCCGCCCGCCTGGCTGAGCTGCATCGCTGACATGTTATCGACGTATAGGGTGGTAGGGACACCCTTCTTGAGCAGTTGAAACTCCCACAGCAGGAACCTTAGCTTGCGCCCCTCCTTTCCCGCTTCCACCGCAGCCACAAGCTCGCTCTCGGTGGACGAAAGTTTGGTCGCATCCTGCAGCTTCTTGGCCTGCATGAAACGGCAGCTCCGCCAAGCTTGAAGAGGTAGCCTCCGGTTGACGACCGGTTCTCCTTGTCGCCTGCATCATCCGCTTCCGCATACCCTACGAGAGTCAAACTCTCTGGTCCTCCCTTGAATAGCAACCCCTTGTCCGATGAGGCAGCCCAGTAGGAGAGTGTGTGGAAGAGCTCATGCCAATGCGCATCGGTCCTGAGGTGTGCACCTACTGCAAGGCGACTGCATGCAAAAGAGAGGATAGGACGGGTTGAGATGGCTGCAAACTGCACCATGCCGAGAATTGACAAGTACTCGGTCATGGTACGGTTGGCAAACTGCCCGGCATCTTCCTTGGCAAAGCTGGCAGAGGAGAGAGGAGTGATCGGCTGCTTCTTTGGTGGTGCCCCTTTGAAGTACCGCTGCTGCACCTTCGCCACGTACGCACTCTGGTGCAAGAAGAGTGTCCTGTTGGGGAGATCTCGCAAAATCTGCAGCCCCAGGTAGCGCTCCGCTGGCTCCACCTCACGGAGCTGAAACGCCTTGGCCAGCAACCCCTATAGGTCCTGCAGCAGCTGTTGGTCTTCACTTGCCGCTAGCAGGTCATCCACGTAAATTAGCAGCCACACGCGCTTCCCGCTCGCCCCATCCTTGTAGTATAGGGCCTAGTCCACAAGGCTCTTCTTGTACCCCTCCACAAGGAGCACCTTGTCCAACTCCTTGTACCACAGAAGGGGACTCTGTTTTAGCCTGTATAGGCTCTTTTGCAGAAGGCACACCTTGCTACTACCGTCGGTGAAGTAGGGCGGCTGCTGCATGTAGATCTCGTGGTTGATTGTGCCGTGAAGAAATGCATTCTTCACATCAAGCTGCAGCAAATCCAGGTCCATAGCTGCTGCGATTGAGAGGAGCGCGCGAACGGTGGTGTAGCTGCCAACAGGAGCGTAAGTGTCGTCGTAGTCGATGCCGAAGCGCCAGCTAAATCCCTTAGCCATGAGCCTGGCCTTGTACTTCTCCACGGTGCCATCAGGTCGCAGCTTCTTCTTCTACAGCCACTTGACGCCGACGGTTTTGTGACCTTCAGGTAGGTTAGCCAACGTCCAAGTGCCTTGCTCATCAAGGCTCTCCATCTCCTCCTTCATAGCAGCCCACCATTCCTTGCCTTCAGGTCCGGTCAACGCAGCTGCCAGGTCGAGGATGACACCTCCCCAAGCACCTTCCTCCTCCTCATCCTCGTCCGGGTACTCCACTTCGTCATCGCTGTCCGTGTCGCACTCGTCCTCAGCAAGGTATGCCACGTCGTACGGGTTGTCCTCTTCATCCGCATCCAGGGCCGTCATGGCTGATGGCTGAAACCGTACGGGTGGCACCCCCTTGTTAGGCCTGCTGGAGCGACGTGGGGGTGGTGGAATGGGCTGGAGGGGGGGGGCTGCAGGTGAAGGCTCATGCTCATGGGCCATTGGTGACTGCTCATCCACTGCTACTTCTTCTTCCTCCTCGTGATCAGCCATGCTGGTGTCAACTCTCAAAGGACCATCCTCTGGTCCTACGGGCGCCGAATCAGCAACGGAGGGTGGACCAAGAGGAGGAGGTGCAGTAGGTGCCTTGCTGCCCAAAGGGCCCACCGAGTGATCAAGGGGTTTCTCGCCCCCTTGCACGGACGGTACCGGGACCACGATGACGGTACGTGGTGGCGGCGGATTCTGCTCGGGGTCGTGGGGCTCAGGGAAGAGAGATGGAACTGAAGCAAAGGGTGGTGTGGGCTGGTCATTCCCGTCACCCACGCGTGCACGCCACTTATGCCACCGTTCAAGTGACGTGTCCTCATAAAAACGTGCATCCCGTGTGATGACCATGCGCTTTGACTCAACATCCACCACACGCCATCCCTTACTTTCCATGCTCATGCCCAAATGCATGCCCCAACGAGTCCTGGTTGCAAGCCTCCTCTCACGCTCATGCTCAGGAATGATGTACTGCACCATGCACCGGAACACACGGACCATGGACACATCGGGCTTGACTTTGAACACCACCAAATGAGGGGTCACACCATGGGGCAGGGTGGATTGGTGCACACGGTTTACCACCCACAAGAACTGTTGGAAAGCGAAGTGCCACCAGTGTGCTTTCACCCCCATGTGCCCCAACATCACACGCATGCCCTCGGTTACCGTACGGTTGCGGCATTCAGCCACACCATTCTGCTGGGGGGTTGAGGGGCAGGAGAGTTGACGTAAAATTCCTCGTTGCTTCAGCAGCAACTGAAAATCATTCGACATAAACTCCCCTCCCCAATCCGACCGCAACACCGTCAGCATCATCCCGGTTTGGCGTTCAGCTTCGGGAAGCCATCCCTTGAAGGCAGCAAGCGCGTCGCTCTTCAGCTTCAACGTCTTCCCCCAGGTGTAACGTGAGGCATGGTCGAAAAAAAGGATGTATTACCTGCTTCCATCCATGGCCAGGGTCTGAAATGGACCGCACACATCAGTATGGACCAGCCCAAGTACCTGCTCCTCTCGCTCGTCGTGCAGCGGAAATGATTCACGAGTGAGTTTGGCTTCATGGCAGAAAGTGCACGGCATATCCTCACCTCCTTTCTCCAGGTCCATACCAAACACGCCACCGCTCGTGGCTGTCCGCTTCACCGCATCGAAGTGGACGTGTCCAAGGCGAGCGTGCCACAGGTTGGGCATTGCCTTGGAGCCCACTGCGTACGTCTTGAGGCTGGCCACTCCATCTTTAGCTTCCAGCTTGCTTGATGCCACATCAGCAATCTCCTTCGCCGTGCCGTTGCAGCCGCCGTGCCGTTGCATGCCGATGCAGCCCCTGTGCCGTTGCATGCCGCTGCAGCCGTTGCACCGTTCCTTGCTGGCCCCAGTTTCAGGTCAAGGCAGTGAAGGCGATGGCGGTATTGTGCCGTTGCAGCCACTTGACCTCCTGATGCGATGATGCGAGTGACACCTTCCTCGGTTTGCAGCTTTGCTCCCTTGTCCAAGAGCTGCCCAGGGGAGACCAAGTTGGCCTTCATTCCTGGCACAAAGAGGACATCATGTCGGGTCCCACGCAAGCCGTTAGTGCCCTCCAGCAAAACCTCACCAACACCGGCAACTTCTTGCATAGAACCATCAAAACCTTTGACTGATTTCGTTGCAGATGGGTCACGGATCACCGTGAACCACTCCTTGCGGCCAGTCATGTGTTGGGAGCATCCTGAGTCAAGGAACCACAAGTCCTTGTCGTCGGCCAGCAACTTTGCAGCCAAACACGCGACGGTGAGCGCCACGCCCTTCCCGTCTCCTTCAGCTACGTTCGCGGCTGCCGCGGGCGTTGTATCTTTCTTCTTGTTGGGGCACTTGGCAGCCATGTGCCCCTCCTCATTGCAGTTGTAGCATCGCCCCTTGAAGGGGGCTCGCTTCTTCTCCCGCTTGCCATCCTTCTTCTTGTCCGTCTGCTCCCTTCCCCCTTTTCCTTCCTTCCCATTGACCCCTGTTGTAGCCACAATGGTGTTGACAGCGCCCAAGAAAGCAGATGCATCGCTGGTGATCTGCTTGTAACTCTATTCGATGGATAGAGTCTGCTCCTCCATCAACACCTCGCTGCACACGCGTTCCACCGTCATGTCAAGGCTGGAAATATCGAGCTTGCGGCGAAGAAATCCGTACTCTGGTGGTAGGCCCTTCAGCACGTGGGCGGCAAACGTGGCCATATGGACCTCCTGTCAAATGGTCAGCAGGTTCACTCGGATGGTGTGGGCCCTATTGCAGTAGGATTCCGCCGTCTCATCATCTCCCTTCCTGAGTTGGGCTAACTGGGTCTGAAGTAGGGAAGCGTGGAGGGCATCACGAACTTGATAAGTAGACAAGATATATGCCCATGCTAGCTGCCCAGCTTTCTCTTGCTGAGAGAAACCAGAGATGGACATTCGGATGGGTGGAGAACACATCAGTTCAGCACCATGAATGCAAGCATTTGGCCCTTTGCGTACTCCCTTCGTTGCAAAGGGTTGTTCGGGGCCGGGCTTGGTTCTGTCCCGTTGCAAAACTGCCACAAATCAGCACACTGGAGCTGAGGTCGGATGGCGCTGACCCACGCGGTAAGGTCGTGCCTTCCCTCTAGTAGCGGCGTCACGGAGATGTGTTCAACTCCAAACTTGAATTGACCGTAGCTCGCCCCGATCATTCTCGTGTCAATGGTCGGTGCAAGAGCTCCTCCACCAACGCCCACAGCACTTGGAGCCTCGTGCACAGCTCCTCCTTCACCGGTTCCTCCTTGCTGGCCTCTCGTAGGTGCTTACTCCGCCGCGCGCTCCCGAACCATGCGTAGTAGACGACCGTCCACAATGAGGTCGACTTCCTCATCACGCAAGTGAGGGTGGTGCTCACGAACGGACGCCTCCAGCTCCTGACGGGCATTCAGACCCTTGGCACTTGTTAACCACTCCATGCGCAGTCAAAACGAGCGTCGACCACACCAACGTGGGAACGAAGTGATGGGAGGACGGAATCAAGCCGCTAGTTGGATCGACGCAGATAACGCAACTTTGATACCAAGTAGAATTCCCCTACTATAGCAGCTTGATAGAGCTTAAAAGCATGATTCCAATGCACCAAAGATTGCAGGAAACGGTCCACTATAGCCAGAGATACAGACAAACATAGCAGTGATAATGACTTGGTTGACTTCTGGTTTGTGCTCTCTGGTTCTATACTATGACGCATTACAAAATAAAAGCACACAAGAAAGTGTCGACCCGGGTCGCACGTTGAATTTCGTCGACGCGAAATTCGGAGCCTTGATTTGCGCCGAGTGAATTCCATTGACTGGAATTCCGTAGACAAGAATTTCCGTGACAAGAATTTTGTCGACCACCGACTGTAACTCCTGTGCGAATTCCGTTGACTTCGACACTTCGATGCCGAGTTTCAAACCGAACGCGACCCGAGATCGATTTCGCCAAACTGTCCCCAATCTGTCCTGACAAGACACTTTCGGGACACTTGAATCGAAAGGTCTCCAGTTCGAAACTCGTGTGCACCATAACCAACGCCTCAGCAGAAACTGTCCTGAATCTGTCCTGAGACACTTTCAGGACAGATTTGAAGGTCACAAGTTCGAATCCCAGCGCAGACATTTTGTTGCTCATGACAGAATTTTCTTCTAACAGCGGCAACCTGGTTAGACGCGGGAACCTGATGGGGGGCAGTGACAGGGGTCGGGGGCAGTAGCGGCTGCTGCTGCCCTCGGGGGCCAGTGTGAAGTGTGTAGAGACCAGAGCCCGGCTCATCGGTAAAGGTGGCGAGAGGTGCGTACGTGTCTCCGTGGACACAAACCGCAGTCTCGCCATAAGGCTCAATCCACACACTCACGTGCTGACTCACGAGCACCCTCACGCCCTCCAAGTTCCTCGAGAATGAGGGGATGTGGAAGCCGGTCAGAGAACCGGAGGGAACAGCCGAGCATGGAAGCGTAGTAGTGTAGCAAGCGGTGACTGGTCCCGAAGTGGGATCAGCCAGTGCTACAAAGACCGGTGTAGGAAGTCGGGTAAGTGTCGTGCCGTCACGGAAGAAGCAGTGCGAAGCTCCGGGGTCCAGAGTGAAAGAAAGCGAAGCGTGATCCAGAGCAGCTCCTGGACTAGTGTCTACACAAGTACCTACACTAGCAACAAGAACCTCAACAAGACTGGCACCTAAGCCAACAACACTTGAATAAACAGAGTCAGAAGCACTAGAGTCAACAATAGCATACATAGCATGAGGAGTTCCTAAGAGATCAACCAACTGAGAAGCCGACATGCCCCACACAGCGGAGCCGTACGTCTGAATAAGGGGAAGCCAGTCAGGGGCAGGGCCATCAATGCCGTAGGCCAACCGAACCGTGTTAGTAAGCTAAGCAAAACACTGACCCGGTGGATGGCTGCGGCTACAAGGCTGGCCGCGGCGTGCACCTGTCAGAACGTGATAGGTTCAGGGAGGGTGGACGACACCGCGCTGCAGCTGACGCTGTTCTGACCCCTGCCCCAAAACCTGCTACTGCCGCTGCTGCTGCTGTGGCTGCTGTGAGGAGAGGGGCTGCTGCTGCTGCAGCTGTCGCTGAGTCAGGTACCATGCCGCTGCTCCACCCCCTGCGGCTGGCAGACCAGTAGGTGGCTGACGAACCCGGGCGTCACCTCCACCAGCTGCAGCAGGGGAGTCACCGGCTGCTGCACGAGGCACTCCTCCAGCCCCTGCACTCCCGCCGCCGCCGCTCGCCACGTCACCCCCACCACCTCCACCGCCTCCGCACGCACCCTGATCGCCCCTCCTACCACTCCTAACCCGAGACCACAAAGAAGTCGTAACAGCAACTGCGGTCACGTCAGTAGCGGCAGTGGCGAGGGAGGCAGTAAAGGTGGGCAGCTGAGGAACAGTGCACCCGTGAAACAGTGGAGGGGGCACAGCACCAGAGGCGGAGGCTACCGAGCGGAGGTTGCTCTCGAGTCCTTGAGAGCCGACTCAAGGACCTCGATAGTGAGCTCGCTAGGGTGCTTCAGAAGAAGCGCGTCACGAACCGAGGAAAGGCGATTAGGGAGGCTAGTGGCGATGAAGTAGATAGTAATAGCCATAGGGAGAGGGAGCAGTGCAAGCTGTGCGTCAGTGCAAGCAGCACGGTAGCTATAATCGAGCGAACGCAGATGCGTGATCAAGTCAGTAGTGTGCTCAAACGAGGCGAGGTCAGGAAAGAGGAACAAAAGGAACAAGCAACCAAGAGAGACAGTGGTGGGAGTAGCGTAGCGGGCCTTGATTGTAGTCAGGAACTCACTAGCCGTGCGAACCTGAGTGAAGTGCGCTCCTCAGAATCAGGGAGGAGGCTGCTGAGGGCGATGCAGGCCGCAGCGTCACGTGACTTCCACGCGGTCACGGCAGCATGCTCGCACGCATAACGGTCACTATCTGTAGGTGTGAGGTCAGCTGCTAAGGGTGCAGGGCTAGCGGGCTCAGGAAGGTCACCAGAAGCGTGCGGCCACAAAGTCTCGTGTGCCTGAACCTGGCTCTCTAGGAGGCGGCGCGCACACAGGAGCGAGACCGAGAACTCGAGTGGCCTACCCTCAGCGTCAAAGCGCACGACCCTAGGGGTCGCTATAGCGGAAGCGTAGAGGTGGATACTGCTGCTGCCGAAACCCTAAACGCCTAGAGGGTCCGAGCAGGGCGCGGCAGATTGAGCGGAAGGCGCGATGCGACGGGACAGCAGGGCACGACGCGACGGGGCGGGTAGGACGCGACTCGACGGGATAGCAGGGCGCGACGCGACGGGCTGGGGGCGACTCGACGGGAGGGGGGGACGAGACGCGACGGGCAGGGGACGAAACGCGACGGGACGGGCAGCGCGACGCGCAGAGGACGGGACGGACGGACAGCGCGACACGCAGGGGATGGGACGGACGGGCAGCGCGATACGTAGGGGACGGGACGGACGGGCAGCGCGACGCGCAGGGGACGGGAGGGACAGCGCGACGTGACGGGCAGGGGACGCGACGGGCAGGGGACGCGACGGGCAGGGGACGGGATGGGCAGGGGACGGGACGGGCAGGGGACGCGACGGGACGGGCAGGGGACGGGACGGGCAGGGGCAGGAAACGAGGGGCAGGAAGGTGCGTGCGACGAGCACTACGAGCGCTACGGGCGCTTCGTGACGAAACGGGCAGGCGCTAAGGCCGCTATAGGCGCTGCGGGAGCTTCGAGACGGAACGGGCAAGCGCTAAGGGCACTATAGGTGCTACGGGCGCGTCGTGACGGAACGGGCAAGTGCTTAGTGTCAGAAGAACGAGGAATAGTTT